AAAGACATTAAACCGATTAACACCATGGAAAAATCGACTTTGGACTACAAACTGGTCAGGACAATTTCGAGATGACTAGCTGAGATGATCCAGCCTGACAGACTACTTGAGCAAGGACTTGTGACAAGTCCTGAACTTTCCTTTTATGCAGAGACTGGAGAAATGATACAGGACTTGACAATTAACCCAAAAAATTTCTCTTCAAGATTCCCTAAAGATATCTTCACCCCTAGAAAGCAAAAAGAAAAAGAGAATAAGATATGAGATAGATCATTGAATCTACTCTGAGAAAAAAGATAAAGAAATAATAGGATAAATGGGTAGATCACTGAATCTACACTGAAGGAAAAGGGGAAGATATAAAATGACAAAAGGTAGACTACTGAATGTGTTATGGAAAGAAAAAAGAGAATATGGATATGATAAGATAAAAAGGGAGATTATGGAATCTACTTTTAAAAAGGAACTACTTGTTTTAAATATGATAAGTAATGAAACTTTTTTTGGTCTGAGTTTATCAGATGTTACTGGACTGGACATTGTTAATATATATATTGGAATTTTTTATCTGAATCTGTCAAATGTTAATGGACTAGACATCATTAATGTAATTTTTGACTGTATATATTGTATATACTTATTAGATAGTTTTTCTTGTATTAGTTACAAGCTTTTTTAATTTTAGACAAAAAGAGAGGAAATGTGGTGGTATTGTGTTCCCCAAAATATTGTGTGCCTTAATAAACTTATCTGGGGCCAGAGAACAGAACAGCCACAATATTAAACATAGAGGTTAGGCAGTGGTAGCACACGCCTTTAATCCTAGCATTCCAGAGACAGAAATCCCTCTGGATCTCTGTGAGTTCAAGGCTGCATTGGAAACAGCAGGCATGGTGACTCACGCCTTTAATCCCAGAAAGCAGCCTTTAATCCCAGGGAGTGGTGGTAGAAAGCAGAAAGGTTTATAAGGCGTTGAGGACCAAAAACTAGAATCATTAGGCTGGTTAAGCATTTGGCCTGGTTAAGCATTTTGGCTGGTTAAGCATTCAGGCTTCTAGCAGCAGTTCAGCTGAGAGCCATTGGGATGAGGACACAGAAGCTTCCAGTCTGAGGAAACAGGATCAGCTGAGGAATTGGCAAGGTGAGATAGCTGTGGCTTGTTCTGGTACTCTGACCTTCCAGCATTTACCCCAATAACTGGTCTCGGGTTTGATTTTATTAATAAGACTCTCTAAGATTCATGCTACAGACATGTGTGTGCATCTGGAGGATGTAAGTGGCCATCAGGTGTCTTCCTCAATCTCTCCCCACTTTCTTTATTGAGGTGGGGTCTCTCACTGTTTCAGATAGACAGCTTGTCCTGGGGATCCCCTCTCTCCACCTTTGAGTGCTATGGCCACCAATGCCCACCCGGCTTTCACATGTGTTCTGGGCATCCAAACTCAGTCCTCACACTTGAGTGGCAAACAGTTTATGCACTGAGCCATTTCCCTGGTCCTTGCCATTTCGACTCTAATATGTCTTTTCAGGAGACAGCCTTTCTGGGCTACAAGATGGCTCTGTATCACTTGCCACCAAGCCTGATGACCCGAGTTTAATCCTGGACATCCGTGCAGTGGAAAGATTGGTCCAACTCTCTGGCCTCAAGTCAGGAATGCAGAACCATTTTCACAGAGACCCCACTACCACCTCTCAGAGCTTCCTCATCCTCCCCAGCCCCCCGAGGGCACACAGGACAAGGGAGCCTGGTTTCCTCAGGTGCAGAGGTCAAAACCTTTTCCCTGTGATGTGTTAATTCCCAGCTTCCTCCTCTGTGCACTGAGAAAACGTCATCGAAGCAGTTGTAATAACTGCTGTAACTGAGAAGCAGAAAGGGACTGGAGATGTCTGGCAGGAGGCATTGTGGTGTGAGATGGGCTTGGAGCGCACCCAGGGGCAGGTACAGTGACTGTGGAGTTCTCTGGGTCACACTGTGACAGGTGTGTGGAGTCTGAGCATCCAGGTGTCCCTCTCCTGAGCACTGTGAATGTGTTACTCTGCATGTCACAAGAACTCGGAGCTGTGACCCAGGATGCTGGTGCTGGTGTCCTTAGAATAAACACAGAACCTCGGAGGAAAGTGATAGGTGAGAGCCTAGGAGCTGGGCAGAGGGGAGGCAGGGATGAGAGCCAAGGGAGATGGAGCCTCAGCCACTGAGGCAGAGGAGCCCTGAGGTGGCACCCACCCACAGCTGCAGCTTACCCTCTTCATGGAAAACCTGGTTGTAAGTGAGGGCTGTTCTTCTTGGTTTTGTTTAACTTAAAGCATTTAATTTTTTTCTTCTATATATGTGTGTTTGCATGCATGTGGATCTCCTAGATCTGGAGTTAAGGTGGTTATGGGCTGTACTGTGTGGGTTCTGGGAACCAAACCCAGGTCCTCTGCAAGAGCAGCAAGTGCTCTTAACCTCGGAGCATCTCTCCAGCCCCTCTTCAATTTTTCTATTGTAGAAAATACACACATTACCACCATATTCATTGGAGGTTTTTCACATTTATTATTTATCTGGGGGGGGGGAGGCATGCACTTGCCATGGCACAGGAATGGGGATCCGAGCATAACTTTGGGGAGTCAGTTTTCTCTCCCACCGTGTGGTCTCAGGGGTTGAGCTCAGGGTTAGTGCCTTTGCTTGCCGAGGCATCTCATTGGCCCACCGTATTCATCACGAAGCGTGCAGTTTCGTGATCCCAAACACACTCACATTGTTCAGCAACGGATTCCTAGACGTCTTTACATCTTCCTGGGTGAGGTGGCTCACACCTGTAATCCCAGCACTTAGGAAGCTGAGGCAGGAGGACCAAGAGTTTGATGCCAGCACAGGCTACCTAGTTAATTTCTATCTTTAAAAACAAATCAGCAGGCTGGAGAGATGCTCCGTGGTTCTGAGCACTTGCTGCTGCTCTTGCACAGGACCTGCGTTTAGATCCCAGCACCAACATGGATGTTCACAAAGGTCTGTAACTCCAATTCTGGACCAGAGGGTCCGATGCCCCCTCTGGCCTCCACACACAATAAACACACACACGATGCATTTACATACATGCACCCACTCATACACGTAAAGTAACAATATATTAACCCTTAAAACAGAACAGCAAGTCTTTTCGTCATGTATTGAACTCTACTCCATTTAAGCTCCAAATTCCCTTCTTCCTCCCGGCAGCTGTCACTTCCCCTTTCGTCTCTGTGAAACCGGCCTCGCCAGGGGCATCATATCGGTGCAACCGCAGCGCCGGTCCTTTTATGACTGGCTTATCTCACTCACCATGATGTCCTCAGAGTTCATCTCTGATGGAGAACATGTCAGAACACTCTTCCTTTTGAAGGATGCATTGTATTTTGCTGATCCAGTCTCTTATCAGTGGGAAAACTGAGGGTTTTTTGTTCGATTTATTATTATTATTATTATTATTATTATTATTATTATTATTACTGTTACTATTATTGGCTTTCAAGACAGGGCTTCTCTGTGTAGCCCTGGCTGTCCTGGAACTCACTCTGTAAACCAGACTGGCCTGAACTCAGAGACCTGCCCTGCCTTTGCCTCCTGAGTGCTGGGATTAAAGGCGTGCGCCGCCGCCGCCACCACCACCTGGCTGGGAACTCTTGAGTTTTAAACCACTAAGTCTCTAATGAGTTGTTACAGCAGCCGTGAGAAGCTCATACAAGCAGATTTTAAAGCCTACTTAGAATGAAAGAAAATACGGGTGGGTTTTCTGCCTTCCATGGGGTGGGTGTGGGAGTGTGGGGTTCACACACACTGTCTCCTTTGGCTGAGCACCGGCTGGCTCTTAGGCATGTCTGGCTTCCATGTCCTGGGGTTATGAAGCTAGTGAGGGTAACAGCGTAGTATTTCTGGACGGCCTTCCCCCTCTAGGCAGCCTCTCTCTTAAACCCTTCCTGGGAGTCCAATAAGCCCCCTCCCTTTTTGGCGGGAGGTGGGACATCCAGTCCTAACACGCTCTTCCAAGCCAGCATTCATGTCCTCCTCCTTGGCTCAAGCCAATATGGACCTGCAGTGGAAGCTACCTTCCCACGGGGCTTGGGGAGGTTTGCATCAGTTTCCCTTTCCCTGCAGTCTGCAGGCCCTGTCAGGCTGCAGCCTCCCCGAGCCTGAGGCTCCCCCTGGCGGCGGGCACAGACCTCACACGGCTTTCCTCCTCCCGACTCCGCAGCCCCGCCTGGCTGACCTGGCAGGGTGGAGGCCAGGCCAGCCTGAGATTGCTTGCAGGTAGAGCTGAGTGTTTCCACTTTGAAGATGAAGAGGAGTATGAGGCCTGAGGTTCCCAATGGAAGACCTTGGACCGCCCAGAGAGATAGACACCCTGGGGAAGAGGTTCAGAAGCCGGGAATAGGGGGCCGGAGCAGAGAGAGAATCATCCAGGGCATGAAAGAGATTTTGGAGCTAACTCATCCTTCCTGTGGGGGATAACCTCCACCCCTCCTACAGGGGCTAACCTTCCTCCCTTCTGAACGGGATAATATTCACCTCTCCTGCAGGGGCTAACCTGTGACCTTGCCCTCCAGCAAAGAGTGGTTGCTGTCGGGTACAGCTTTTGTCTCTTGGGGGGGGGGGGGGCAACGGGCGAGGGGGGCCTGGGGCCCAGGGCAGCTGCAGGTGAGTTGGAGTCAGTCCCAGTCTGCTCTCTGCTAACCCCACTCATCCTCTTCTCTCATTGGTCCCTCCATCTTCGGTGTCTCACGCCTACTCTGGGTCACGTGTTCTCCCGCTGACCAGGCTGTGCACTGCTCTTCGTAGCCTGTCCCTGGATGTTTTCCTTCCATCTTTTCTCCCAACAAGCTGTTCTCACCTGAAACCTTGTGTCTGTCTCCTTGCCCAGGTGTAGAAGTGCTGCGTGTCTTTGCAGGCTGAGATGACCCAGACATGGAAGGTCCTAGAGCACGGGGGGGGGGGGGGGGGGGGGGGGGGGGGGGGGGGGGGGGGTGGGGAGTGGGTGGGTGGGGGGCGGCTGACTCAGTCCTGGACGACGTCCTTGTATTCATTACTTTCACAGGATGTGACCGCTGTTCAGGAGAGAGGCAAGTTTAAGGAGCAAGGCTTTGTTTTGGCCCAGGGATTCAGAGTTCTGAGGCCCCTGTGGAGGGGACGGCATATCTGATCAGCTCATTCCGGTGCAGTGGCAGCATGTGGCCCAGACTGTTCATATCACAGAAGACCAGCAAAGCAGAGAAGGAGGCAGGAACCAGGGGCAGCCATCACCTCCAGGAGCACTGGCTGCTCTTATGGGGACCTAGGTTTGGTTCCCAGCACCCACATGGTAGTTCACTTTAACTCCAGTTCCAGGGGATCTGATGTGAAGGCCTAGACTTGACTTTACAGGCTCCATCTTAGGGTAGGGCCACCATCTCAGACCACCTGCTGTACTCAGTTCCAGGAAGGACCTCAGGAATGTGCCATGACAACTCGAACCGATGCAGAGCAGTATCCTCCTGCAAACATCCTGTCTGCGGTTTATGGCCCTTGAAGATATCTAGACAATCCTGCTGAGTAGTCCAGACAATCCTGTTCAGCGGGTTATGGTTCCCCCCGCCAAAACTCTAACCCAATGGTTTCAAATGTGGTTTCGCACCCAAAGTCTAGACCAATAGTTTCAAAAAATCACCTTGCCCCTTCTACCCAGTCCTAAGTTGCCAATTCCTGGCTTGTGGTTTTTCCCTATAAAAACCCTCTACAACTGGTCTTGTGGCTACTGCCACATTTCCTTCCACCTGCCCTGCGGTGGCCCAGGTTGAACCTGAATAAAAGGACCCTTATGTGCTTGCATTGGAAACCGGCTCCTTGGTGGTCTCTGGGGTTTCTCGAAACAGGTACAACACTGATACCCTCTGCTGGCTTCTAGGGGCACTGCACCCACACAGTGCACATACAGGCAAAACACTCACACACCTAAAATAAAAATAAAAATGCCTCACCGTAGTGACATATTTCTTCTAGCCAGAGTCTACTTCCCAAAGATTCCAGTCTCTCCAATATAGTTCCACCATCTGGGAACGGCACATTCAAAAGTTAGCCTGTGAGGCACATGTCGGATTCAAGCCATTACAGACCTGGACTGACCCCTTCTCACACTGCATCATGTCCACGTCTAGTTTTAGGTCTGTGCACAGTCCTGAATCCTGGATCCTGGGCTCTCCATGTTATGGTTTTGCCCACTAGGGCTTCCTCTGTGTCATGGCCCAGGCTCACAACCTTCATTGTCTACCAACGGACAGACAGACACAGGCTCACCCCACTCCACTCCACCCCACCCCAGCTGCGGCCTCTCCTGCTGCCTGCTCAGGCTCCAGGAGGCCCAGAGGAAGATGAGTTTGGGGAGGGCACTGGAGTCTGCAGCGCCTGGGAGCCCTGAACCTCAGCACCCCCAAACCAGCCCTGTCCTCTCAGGAGACGCACCCCCCCCCGCCCCGCCCCAGTGCCTGGAGGGCTCTGTCACCCTTAACCTTTTCCACCTGCTCTACTGTGACCTGAAATGTGTGCCTTGGACACTGTTGCATCTTATTCCAGGAGCTTAGATGCTATGAGCCACCTCCCTCCACAGGGCCACTGGATCCAGGTCTCCACTGCCTGGAAAGCAGGTGTTTGTACCTGTGAGTTCAGACTGTATGACAACTGGTGACGTTGTCTGTGACATTTGTTTGTGACATTGAACTTGTTTGTGTTTGTGTAAACACCTGTATTCTTCAGCCTCAGTGTGTGTGTGTGTGTGTGTGTGTGTGTGTGTGTGTGTGTGTGTGAGAGAGAGAGAGAGAGAGAGAGAGAGAGAGAGAGAGAGAGAGATGCCTGCTCCCCAAGATGGGCACCAACAGCAGATGACAGTACAACCCCACCAAAGCCTAACTCAGGGAAGCAAATGTTTACTGGGCTTACTTAGAGAGAGCATAGGTGGTCCCCAAGCACCAGAGAAGGGTCCCACACATCTTCCCATAGGTGCAGAACCCTGTTGTGGGGTATTTGTACACTGTGTGGAAATGTATTTTCTGTGATTGGTGTAATAAAAAGCTGAATGGCCAATGACTAGGCAGGAGGTATAGGTGGGACTTCCAGGCAGAGAGAGAGAGAGAGAGAGAGAGAGAGAGAGAGGAAGTAGGAGATGAATCTAGGTGTGCATTAGACACCAACAAGACATGGAGGGAGTGGAACATACAGAATGAGAGAAAGGTAAACATCTACATGGTAAAACATATATTAATAGAAGCAGATTCATTTAAGTTGTAAGAGCTAGGGGACAAGCCTAAGCTAAGGCCAAGCTTTCATAATTAATAAGCCTCTAGGTTGTTATTTGTGAGCTGGCAGCCAACAACAGAGCTTGCTACAGAACCCCCTTCAGTTACTTTTCATGCTCTACATATTCTAAAGGCTCCTGAGACAAGACCATGAGGCCACTTGGCAGATTACATCCTGCTGGAGGTGGGGTGTGTGGGAGAGGGAGGCTGGAATCTCAGGCGAGGTCCTAATGACCCTCCACACCCACTTCCTCCGTGGGGGAAGTCAACAACCAACAGGGCTGATCGCTTTTAACGTGTAATTAACTAATTAAATTTGAGAAAGGTTCTCACTGTGTAGCCCTGGCTGATCTAGAACTCACTATGTAGACCAGGCTAGCCTGGAATACTTGGAGATCTACCTCTGCCTCCTGAATGCTGGGATTAAAGGCTACCATGCTTGGCTTGCTCTTTTTGTTTGTTTTGTTTTTCAAGACAAGGTTTCTCTGTGTAGTTCTGGCTGTCCTGGAACTCACTCTGTAGACCAGGTTGGCCTTGAACTCAGAGATCTGCCTGCCTTGGCCTCCTGAGTGCTGGGATTAAAGGTGTGCACCACCACCACCTGACTTACTTTAAAGTTCGTATTATATTAATTCATTTAGTTTGCGTACAAAAGGACAGAGGTCAGGGGGCCCCTTGTGTGAATTGTTTCTCTCCTTCCACCGTGTGGGTCCCAGAGTCCAAACTCAGGTCATCAGCTTGGGGACAAACACCTTTCCACGCTAAGTAATCTTGCTGGCCCCATAAGCCTGACCTTGAGGGTCTCTTTTGAGCAGCCACAGCTGCTCCGATAAAAAATGGTCAAAGTTATGCTTCGAGGACTGTTCTATAACAGTGGTGAGAGACAGAGACCAAGACACGCATACCCCCCATACACACACACACACACACACACACACACACACACACACGCACGCACACAGGTGACTGGGGAGAGGGAAAGGTAGAACATGTAAGTATGGCTGAGGGTGTCATAAGGGATTCTGGCAGCCACATCATGGCACATCGTCCCTGCATGTGATTGCAACAGGGATGAGCAGTCACAGCTGATGAGCTGTAGGGAGAGAGGCTGCATCTAGGTCACAGACCGAGTCCATGCACTCCTGGCCTGGGAGATGCTGTGTGCGTGTCTGAGGATGCGCCCGACCGACCTGTGTCTGTTTTTCCACCATCACTCCACGTAGTTTTGAGCCCGAGGCAATGTCTCAAGCCATCTTGCAAATATCTGTGATTGTGATTGGGTCGTTTACAAAGAACGGAGATTTGGGGGGCTGGGCGTCACTCTGGTAAAGCTGACTTACTGAGCACACATGCTGTCCTGGGCTCCATCCCTCAGCACTGGAGGAAAAGGAAGACTAACCAGGTGTGGTAACACATCTATAAGCCTGGCATTCAGGGGCAAGAGGATTGAGTTTAAGGCCAGCTTGGGCTACATAGCGAGACCTACGCACAGACAGAATGCAGGTTGTTTCTTAGCTTGGGAGGCTGAGAGATCGCCTGCTTTTCTTTTCTCTGTCTCCATCTGCTGAACTCACCGTGGAGCCGGGCCTGGCCTTGAACCTCTGAGCCTCTATTCTGTGCACCAAGTGCTGGGATTACTGGTGTGTGCCACCACACTCGGCCTCAAAGAAGATTCTCCTCAGCTTCTGTGCCAGTGTGAGGGTTCTTCACGACGTACCTGAGTGTAGTTTCTGGCTTCTAGAACTTGCATATATTCAACTTTACAAGTCAATGCCAAAATGTTTCTGTCAGAGTCTCTCACACCCTTTCCCCTTATAGCACGCTTCCCCCCACTTAAGCTAGTTTGAGTGGGTTTCTATTGCTCCCGATCAAAATGAATTTTACCCTACCTGAGCCATCAAGAACGACTCCGGGATGACAGCCCTGTCTGTGATACTCCTCCCGAGAGAGCCCTACCCCACCAGCCATCACCTGCGGCGCTTTCAAAGTCACGTGGAAATGTGTCACACCAGCAGTATTGAAAAGCGGGACCCGTAAGCGATGACTACGTCACCAGGGTGTCACCGCCACGAATGGGTGAAGCTGGCTGAGTGGGCGTGAATGAGTTAGAACACGAGCAGAGGCCGGAGAGCCCCTGCCTTCTCGCACGCGCGCCGACGCCCTCTGCTGGGCGTGAAGGGAGCAGGGAGAAGGTACCGAGATCCAGCTCGGTAGCTCACTCCTGTCTGTCATCCCAGCGCGGGCTGGCAGGGCCAGGGGCATCAGGTACAGCTTCAGCTACACAGTGAAGCCAGCCTGGGCTGGATGAGATCCTGCCTCAGAATAAAAAGTGAGAACCAGGCCGGGCGGTGGTGGCGCATGCCTTTAATCCCAGCACTCGGGAGGCAGAGCCAGGCGGATCTCTGTGAGTTCGAGGCCAGCCTGGGCTACCAAGCGAGTCCCAGGAAAGGCGCAAAGCTACACAGAGAAACCCTGTCTCGAAAAACCAAAAAAGAAAAAAAAAAAGTGAGAACCAGGGACACGGCTTAGTGGATAATGTGCTCCTTGCACGAATTTGAGGCTCCAGTTTATTTAATTTGATTAATTTACTTATTTAGGTTTTTTGAGACAGGGTTTCTCTGTGTAGCCTTGTCCTAAACTTGCTCTGTAGAAGAGACTGGCCTCGAACTCACAAAGATCTGCCTTGCCCCTCCCCAAAGGCATATGCCACCAGCACCTGAGGAGGGCTCAAATTTAAAGCTAGGTGGCCGAGGAGCGAGATGTAGAGACAGGTAGTCCTTGAAGATCACTAACCAGTCATTGAGCTGGTGGTAAGCTCCAGGCTCAGTGAGAGACTGGGTCTCAAAAATAAGGTGGAGAGCGGTAGAAGGCCCACACTTGTGGACAAACACACACATGAACACACACACAGCTGCTACACACACGTACACATACATGTAAACGGAGCTTTCTCTCCCACCTGCCTGTTTCCAATTTCCAAATACCTGGTAGCTGCTTCCCAAATTACCGCACAGAGGCTTATATTAATAAATATTTGACCGATTGCCCAGGCTTATTACTAATGGGCTCTTAGGTTTAAATTAACCCATTTCTATTCATCTAACATAGATACACACGCATGCATACATACACACACAGGTGCACATACACACATACATCCCTACACATACACACACACAAATATATACAGGTACACACACATACACATACACAGGAACACAAGCAATCCTCCCGCCTCTGTTTCTGAGTAGCTTGGATGGCAGGTCTGCACCACCAGGTCCATTTTTTGGTTTGGTTTGGTTTGTACCGGGGATTAAACCCTGGGTCTATTGCAGGCTAGGCAGGCACTGTATGTCGGCTCGCAGCTCTAGAGCATTTTTTTTTATTTTCATTACTTTATTTATTTATTTATGTGTGTGTGTCTGTCTGTCTGTCTGTCTGATGTCTGTCTTTCTGTCTGTAACTTCTGTAGTCTGAGACAACACAGCAAAAGTAGCACACATTTCCTTTCCCTTCCTTAGCAGCTCTTAGCCTCCTTAATGGAGGACTTTTTTCTTCTCTTCCTCTTCAGTTCTTTCTTCTTCTCACAGGAAGGGAGTTGTTCCGGTTTCTCTTTCTCTTCTGAGTTGCCAGCACTGATCCAGTGGGCAGGAATGCCTAGCCATAGAGAAGAGTAGGGTCCCAGGCAGGATAGAACGGGGCAGTGAAAAGATCCATCCTGATTCTCAGTAGGTTGTGTAAATTAAAATGATGAATTGGGATGGGGTGCAGCTCTCAGGTGGCTCAGCACACTCAAGACCCTGGTTCCACCCCCAGGGTGGAAAGAAAAACAATAAAACTTGGATAAAATTGGGGTAAAGTAACTCAGTGGAAGAGCCGTTGCCTAAAATCCCCCTGTGAAGGGCTGGGGTGTGGCTCAGTGGTAGAGCCCCTGCCTAGAATCCCCCAGTGAGGGTCTGGGGTGTGACTCAGTGGTAGAGCCCTGCCTAGAATCCCCCAGTGAGGGGCTGGGGTGTGGCTCAGTGGTAGAGCCCCTGCCTACAATCCCCCAGTGAGGGGCTGGGGTGTGGTTCAGTGGTAGAGCCCCTGCCTAGAATCCCCCAGTGAGGGGCTGGGGTGTGGCTCAGTGGTAGAGCCCCTGCCTAGAATCCCCCAGTGAGGGGCTGGGGGTGTGGCTCAGTGGTAGAGCCCCTGCCTAGAATCCCCCAGTGAGGGGCTGGGGTGTGGCTCAGTGGTAGAGCCCCTGCCTACAATCCCCCAGTGAGGGTCTGGGGTGTGGCTCAGTGGTAGAGCCCCTGCCTAGAATCCCCTAGTGAGGGGCTGGGGGTGTGGCTCAGTGGTAGAGCCCCTGCCTAGAATCCCCCAGTGAGGGGCTGGGGGTGTGGCTCAGTGGTAGAGCACCTGACTAGAATACCCCAGTGAGGGGCTGGGGTGTGGCTCAGTGGTAGAGGACTTACCTAGTATGCATAAAGCTCTGAACTCCATCCTCAGTACCACAAAAACCTAGCCATACACACACATTGGCACATTTACATACACATCGCTCTCTAAGTAAGTGGAAGAAATCAAATACAGCGCACTGGGAGGGTGCAGCAACGGCTCAGCAGTTAGGAGCCCTTGCTGCTGTTAGAGAGAACCTGAGTTTGGATCCCCAGGACCCGCGTCAGGTGGCTCACAAGCCCCTGTTACTCCAGCTCCAGGGAGTCCTAGACACTCATCTCCTCTGAGAGCTCCCACATTCACAAGCACATACCCACTTCTAGACACACATATTTTAAAATAAGAAATGTCTCTAAGAAATTCCTGCTATGTATATTATAATGACATGTCTGCCTACACGGACTACGTCTAAGGCATGGTCCCTTCAGATGACGTCACACACTAAGTCACCACCATCTGGTGTGAGCAGTTGTTGCCCAACTCCATGACACAGTTCTCAGGATGTGTCCCCATGGTTAAGTCATGAGTGACTGAGAGAAACAATTCCACTGGGTACCTGTCATTCCTCAGCAGTAGTGACTACTGGTCTAGTGTGTTCAGGGCTGATTGCATATTTTTCTGTATGCATGAAACACACTCAACATTTTCATTTACATTCCAAAAACAAACAAACAAACAAACAAAAAACCCAGCCAGTCCATGGTGGTACATACCTTTAATCCCAGCACTCAGGAGGCAGAGGCAGGTGGAGTTCTGTGAGTTCAAGGCCAGCCTGGTCTACAGAGAGAGTTCCAGGACAGGCAAGGTTACACAGAGAAACCCTGTCTTGGAAAACAAAACAAAACAAAGAAACTACCCCCTCTTTTCCTTCACTTTCTATTTTATGTGTCTGGGGGTTTTGCCTGTATGTGTGTCCGTGCACCATGTCCGTGCAGTGCCCACAGAGTGGGCCAGGTCCCCTGGAACTGTAGTTACAGATGCTGTGAGCTGCCATGTGGATGCTGGGACCTGAACCTGGGTCGTCTTGAACAGCAGCACGTGCTCTTAGCCTCTGGGCCATCTCTCTGTTGCTCCACCCCCTTTGAAACAGGGTTCTCTGTGTAGCCCAGGCTGGCCCGGAACTCAGAGATCCTCCTGCCTCTGCCTCCTGAGTGCTGGGATTAAAGGCGTGCGCCACCATGCCCAGCTTCATATTTACATTGTAAAACTTTGTGTGTGTGAGTATGTGTCTGTGCGTGGGAGCACACCTGCCGTGGCGTGCATGTCAGAGGACGGCTTTAGGAACTGGTTCTCTCCTTCCACCACACGTGGGTTCCAGGAACTGAACTCACGTTCTCAGGCTTGTCACCAAGTACCTTTATCCACTGAGCCGCCTCTCCAGGCCAGCTTTGTTATTCAAACCCCGCGCCGTCCATAATGGCATTCACGTGCAGTGATTACTCTGAACAAGACACGCCCCTTTTTCTCCCAGAGGTGATCTCACGTGGGCGGCAATCTCCTTTTTTCTGAGCTGCTGCAAAAATGTCAAGTCAAGGTTGCGAGATCTAAAAAGAGGATTTCTTTTACTAATGAAAACGTATCACTGGAAATTTAAAAAAGAAAAAGAAAGAAAGCCAACCTTTCTTCCCACTGCTCTCCCAGAATTCTTCACAACGTGCTTGTCAGAACGCCTTTCACTCCGCGCCTGAGTTATCGATCTGGCTCTCTCGGAGGCTCATGGATTCCTCAAGGGCAAGGCATTCTTGCGTTCTTCTTGGGGACGATGTCGTGGGAGATGTTTACTCTTCTACACTTCGTGTGTGTCTGTGTCTGTGAACACGCGGTGAGGAGAATTGTTCCTGAGTGGAGACACTGAGCACACAAACACGTGACAGTGTATGTGGGGATTTGCACGACCGAGATTTTGTGGAGTTGTGGGGCTGGAGTGAGCGAGAAGTGGGTCTTGCAGGTAATAGTGCCCGGGACTATTGTACTGGGACCAGAATGTTGGCTGTTTCTCTCTAGGCCTGTGTATTAAATATGTGTCTACCACACTACACTCATGGTGCGTCCTTCAGAATCCCCCACCCCCACCCTGTGAGGGACTGGAGGTGTGACTCAGTGGTAGAGCTCCTGCCTAGAACCCCCCAGTGAGGGGCTGGGGTGTGGCTCAGTGGTAGAGCCCCTGCCTAGAACCCCCCAGTGAGGGGCTGGGATAAGGCTCAGTGGTGGAGCCCCTGCCTAGAATCCCCCAGTGAGGGGCTGGGAGTGTGGCTCAGTGGTAGAGCCCCTGCCTAGAATCCCCTAGTGAGGGGCTAGGGCGTGACTCTGTAGTAGAGTGTTTGCTTAACACATCTGTGACCCCGAACATCACAAAAGCAAGACAATGGCAAAAGCACCAGAGACTGGATGACCAGCATCTGTTCCTCTACCTACATGTGTGTTGGGTGGGGGTGCTGTGCCCATGGCCTGTTCTGTACTTTCTGTGATGATGGTGTATGGTGTGAGTCATGTTGTCCCTTTCCTGGGACTCTCCTGGGTGTATGCAGCTGTAGACTGTACCACACTTTGGTATCTATGGCTCCATGCCCATGGACCAAGAGTTGGGCTTCTCTGACCCTGAAGTCCAGGAAGCTTTCTGGGAAGTTAGCAGCTGGAGATTAGATTTCATGAATCACGAGACTGGAAGGAGGGACAAAGGGCCGGGTCTGATGGGGGCAAGATGAAGGTCTCAGAGTCATGCTAAGGATAGTGGTGACACTCAGCTGACCTAGCAGGTCCCAGGCCGTAGGCTCTGCACATTTACACATACAATTTTGTATTTATCTGATACTTTCTAGTAGGTTTTTGCAGTATATTTATAGATGACAATGATGTGCGTGGTTTGGACTCATTATAAATGACTTTATCAACTACTCTTATCATCTACGACCCCACTGAGGGCAAGGAGAAAAGCTCAGAGAGATAAGCCCACCGGCAAGCACTTGGCGGAGTCCAGGTTTCAGCTCCAGGCTGTGGAGACGGCCCAGGGGGTAAAGTGTTGGCCTTGCAGACATGAGGACAGGGTCATGGTGCATGCCTGCACCTCAGTCCTGGGGAGGCAGGCGCAGAAGAGTGAGGAAGCCGCGCTCTTGGCGCTTCCATGGGACTCCCCCACTTATTCCTTGCCCCGTCACTGAGAAATAGATCCTGTCACTCTGCCGTGCAGGGCATGAAGAAGCTGGGGTTCGGACCCAGGTGATCTGGTTCCCTAGGCAATTCTACTACGTGGTTTTTAAATTATATTTATTATCACAGGAGACTGTTCGTGAGTTGGTTTCTTCTTCCACTTTTATGTAGGTTGCGGGTACTGAACTCAGGCTGTCAAGCTTGTGTGGCAAGCACATTTACCCACTGCGGTGTGTGTGTTTGTGGATATTTGTAGTGTGTGTGTTCCTGGGTTTGCACATGTCTGTGTGTGCATGTAAAGATCTGAGGTTGACTTCAGGTGCTCTCTCAATCGCTCTTTACTCCCTGCCCACCCCCCTGCCCCAGACAGGACTTCTCTGTGTAGTCCTGGCTGTCCTGGAACTCACTCTGTAGCCCAGGCTGGCCTCGAACTCACAGAGATCCGCCTGTCTCTGTCTCCTGGGTGCTGGGATTAAAGATGAACACCACCACTCTCAGCTCTCCACTTATTTTTGGTTTTACATAGTTAAATCACTTTGTTCTATGTGTATGGGTGCCCCACATGTGTGTCTAGTGCCCAGGAAAACACTGAACCTGGAGCTAGGTTGCTGGCCAGCAAGCCCCAACCACCCTCCTGTCTCTGCCCTCTGCAGTGCTGGGGTTACAGGCACACGGGGCCATATTGGTTTTTTTTTTCCCACAGGTGCTGGGTCTCTGAACCCAAGGTTCCCTGCTGAGCCATCTCTCCAGCCCTCACATTTCCCATTAAAAAATACTTGACTTATTTTTAATTACATGTATGCATGTGTATCTCTGTGGGAGTATGTGCATGTAATTGCAAGGTGCTCATGCAGGCCAGAAGTGATGAATCCCCTGGATCAGGGTCCTTTTCAAGGATCTGAACCTCTGAGTCATCTCCTTGCTTCCTTATCTATCTATCTATCTATCTATCTATCTATCTATCTATCATCTATCTGTCTGTCTATCATCTATCTATCTACATATCTATCTACCTATCTATGCATCTATCTATCATTGATCTATTTATCATCTGTCTATCTACCATCTATCTATCTATCTATCTATCTATCTATCTATCTGTCTGTCTGTCTGTCTATCTATCTATCTATCTATCTATCTATCTATCTATCTATCTCCCATCCAGGGTCTGGAATACATCCCAGGGTAGCCTCCAATTTGCTTTGTAGCCAAGGATGACCTTGAACTCCTGATTCCCCTGCCTCGACCTCCCCCTCCCCCGTGCTTGCACCACCTCAGCAGCACTGTAAACAGTAGTAAGGATCAAACCCAAGGAAGGCTTCCTGGGTACTAGGCAAGCGCTCCGAGCCACATCCCAGCCCCTTTACTGTCTTTGTAACGGTGTCTGAGCAGTCAGCCTCCAAGCTTTCAGGCTCTTACTCCCACCTTGTATTTGTTATTCAGGGGTGTGGGGGTTTTCCAGGCTGACTAACAGGTCTCTGGCTCCTAAGGCAGGGGGGTGTGTCTTTCCTCTCCAGCCTTTATCTCACAGCTTCTCTCTTCCCATGGGTCAGATGCATAAAAGCGCCTCAGCTCTCCAGTGGCCCATTCTCCTCATGTCCCCGTTGTGCCCGCTGCTGCTGACTCTGGCCCTGGTGGCCGTCCCCGGCGCCCGGGGCGCCTGTCCGGTGCCCGCAGACCTGAAGAGGGAAGATGGGACGCGCACGTGCGCCAAGCTCTATGACAAGAGTGATCCCTACTATGACAATTGCTGCCAGGGGGCCGAGCTGTCCCTGGAGCCGGGCACCGACCTGCCCTACCTGCCCTCCAACTGGGCCAACACAGCGTCGTCTCTGGTAGTGGCCTCACGCTGTGAGCTCACTGTGTGGTCTCTCCCCGGCAAGGGTGGCAAGACGCGCAAGTTCTCTGCAGGCAGCTACCCCCGCCTGGAAGAGTACCGTAAGGGTATCTTCGGAGACTGGTCCAACTCTATCTCTAGCCTCTACTGCAAGTGAGTTCCTGTGACCTTAAAGCTACGAAGCCCCTACCCAGCCCCACCACCCAACCCCAAGGTTCACCCGGAATCCAGAGACACCCCCACCCCCGATTCATTCTAAGAAAGGTAGATTTTCTCTAAAAACTGTTCCTGGAGGCCCCATCTCCAAGTGCACCCCAGACTAGGCCTCTTATCCTCCACCTAATGACCCTCAGCCCCCTGAGTCTCTCAGATAAAATCTAGGCTCCCCAGAGTGGAAGGCTGCACTCCACTCCACTTGTGCTTTCTACTCCATTCTAGAAGACCCTCCCCTTCTGTGGTACCCTCTAATCTGCACTTGCATGAGAATTCCTGGCCTGACACCAAGGAGCTCATTGGTTCCTTTGGGGCCTCAGATCCAAAGCCAGCCCCCTCTCACTGCATTTGAAAGCCCTCTAGACCCAACTCTCATACTAAAGAATCCCCTTAGGCCTCAAGACCCCAGGCTCAAGTCTTGAAGACTCAGTCTAGTCTAGACTTCCACCCCCACCCACTCTGTCTAGATGAGCCTCAAACCCAGAAACCATTTCCAGACCTCCCAGACCCAATCCTGGGGGCCCCCAAGTCCAGCAATCATCCCCAAGTCCTACAGACCCCAGGTAACCTCTATCCCACTGTAGAGCCATCCCAAACCAACACTGCAGAACCCCTCAAAAAATCAGCAGCCCCCAAATTCCTCCAAGCCAGGACCCCTGAGCCTAGAGCCCTGAAGGCCCTGCTCAGACCTTCCGACTTGGGCATCTCAGTGCCCTGTCATCCCTGTTGAGAATTCCTGTTTCTGTTACAGGTGCTCTTGAAGGCCATCATCTCTAATTACACACAGTGCTGAGCCCAGCCCCACCTCACCTTGGGGATTGCTGTGGTCCCAAGAGCCAGGAGGCAAGATGGCCCTGCTGCCTGCCACCACAGCCTCCCTGTAATACAGCCCTTGAGAAATTAACCCCGTGTGCCATCTGCTTGTGTTTGAGACTCAAATCCACCCAGGACTGGATGAATAGGGGAGAGCGGAATGATCAGATCTGGGTCAGGCCATGCTGGAGACACAGCCTTAGGTCCGGGTCAGGCCATGCTGGAGACACAGCCTTCGATTCTGACGTGGGGTTAGAGGTGAACAAAGACACCAGTGGGCAAGGAAGGGCAATGCTGGCTGCTGACTAAATATTTACTCCTGTGTTACTTTGGGTAAATATCACTCAGCCTACCAGGGTCCTCACCATTCATGCCTAGAACATCAGGGGTCATTCTAGGACCTTGTGCAGGCTAGAGCCGTGGTGTGTTGGGTGATGTGGTAGTCTTTGATTTCTGTTGCTGTTATTATTGTTGTTTTGTGTGCATTTATTTAGATGTTGGGTATGAAATCCAGGCCTTTGCCATGCATGCTAGCAGGGGCTCTACCATGGAGCCACACCCCCAGCCCCTCATTGGGGGGTTCTAGGCAGGGGCTCTACCACTGAGCCACACCCCCAGCTCCTCACTGGGGGATTCTAGGCAGGGGCTCTACCGCTGAGTCACACCCCCAGTCCCTCACTGGGGAATTCTAGGCAGGGGCTCTACCACTGAGCCACACCCCCAGCCCTCTCTGTACTTTTATTTTGGGATAGGGTCTCACTGCATTGCCCAGACTATCTTTTAACTTGAGATCCCTTTACCTCAGCCTCCTTAGTAGCTGGGCTTACGGGCTTGACTCTGTTTGTTAATTACATTTACTGTCTCCTGTCTGACACATGGAAGACACTTTAGTTCAAATTTATGTTTCTGTTCAGGTTGTGATCCCTGCTTCACCTTTGCCCCAGGCTCGAGGGCTCTTAATGGCTATCTGGTTTGGGTGACTCTGGGATGCTGGAGGAGACAGTGTCCCGGGCAGAGAGATATGGGAACAGCTCTGCAGGAATGAAATCCAGGATGAGTTGGATGAGGCCTGGGATGAGGCCTGGGATGAGGCCTGGGATTTAAGGCGAGTCTTAGAGTTAATGGATGAGGGAGAATGGGTAAGTAGAAATATTTCAGGGGCATTCACTGGGGGATATAAAAAGATCTGCTGTCAGGGGCCTATGAGATGGATCAGCATGCAAAGGGGCTTGCTACCAATCCTGATGACCTGAGTTCGATCCCCAAGACCCACAAACAAGGTAGAAGGAAAAAACAGAGGTCAGGCTAGGCCCAGTGGTGCAGACCTGCAATCTCAGCTACTCTGAGGCTGAGGCAGGGAACTGAAAAATTGGAAAGTCTGGGCCACTTAGCTAGACCCTGTCTCAGAATTTCTATAAATAAAAGGAGCTCTGGGGATATATTTCAGTGGTAGAGAACCTATTCAGAATACACAAAAGAAGCTGAGGTCAATTCCAAACACTGCAAAAAGGAGGTCAGAGTTCAATGTCAATGTAAAAGATCCAGAGGTCACAGAAGTACCCAGAGGTCAGGGATTTGTTGAGTGGGTGAGATGTGAGCTGTGAGAAGCTCCGAGGAGCAAAGACCAGGCAGACGCTCAGCCTCTTGAGCACATTGTGTTCTTATAGCCACTCTGGGAAGGTTTATTGACCACCTACTCGGAGATCGGCGTGGGTTTGCCCGGAGTGGCCCCAGCTCAGACTCCCACATTCAGGCAGATATGGGTATGTCAGGAGACCCCAGGGGCCAAGCACGGTCTGAGAGACCTGGGAAGGGAGAAATTGCTAGGGAGGAGCTGAGGGAGAGAAGAGAGCGAGGTTGGGGGAGGCAGGGGGTGAAGGAGACAGGGCCTGAGGGTCAGGGAGGGGAGGAAGGGTATGAAGGAAGAGAAGGGGTCAAGGAGAGGAGGGGGTCAGGGGTAATGAAGAGGTCACGGAGGTGAGGAGGGGCCAAGGAGATAAAGAAAGGTCAGAGGGGTGAGCGAGGTGAGGAGGGGTCAGGGGAAGGATCAGGGGGGAAGGGGAGGGGTCAGGGGTGAGCAGGGGTCAGGGGTGAACAGGGGTCAGAGGTAAGGATAAGGGTCAAGGGGTGAGGGGTGGGGTCAGGGGTGAGCAGGGGTCAGGGGATGAGGCAAGGGGTCATGGGGTGAGGAGGGTTAGGGAGGTAAGGGGGTTCAGGGATGACAGGGGTCAGGAGGTAAGGAGCAGTCAGGGGTGAGGAGGGGTCAGGAGGTAAGGGGAGGTCAGGGGTGAGGAGGGGTCAGCGGTAAGGGGAGGTCAGGGGTGAGCAGGGGTGAGCAGGGGTAAGGGGAGGTCAGGGGTGAGCAAGGGTCAAGGGTGAGCAGGGTTCAGACTATGGGTAAGCACGCACAGGGAGGGGCAGGAAGCAGCAGCATCACGGGAATGCTCAGCGGTGACAAGCACCAGGACTTCCAAAGGATCGTGACCGACTTGGAGAGCCCAGTCGGTGGTCACTCCCGGAGCTGCACAGACACGGAGGAGTCGGTCACCCTTGTCCTGCGAAGGCCGCCTGCCTCCATGCGGTTCTTGGCCTTGTGCTGGAAGTGGACATAGCGCACTCCGGGGCCGTACTGGCGGAAGACGTGGGACACCTGCGGCAGGCAGCCCAGGGTTAGGATGAAAGTCTCAGCGGGGTCCCACAGCCCCTGTCCCTCCTCCCTCTGCCCAAGGTCTTGGGAAAGAACACCTGCGTGGGCAGGACCTGGCAGGGCCTCTCACCTGAACCCAGCGGCCGGGGGGACCTCGCCCATTGGTCCGAGGGGCCACGTGATGCTGGGCAATGACCGTGCGGCGGTCAGCGGCCAGCAGCCAGACGTGCAGTTCATAAACACACTGGTCCAGGCGGCTGTCCTCGAACCTGGGGGAGGGTCAGGCGTTCACTGCAGCTATCACATCGTCCCAGCCCCAAGCCCTCCCTGGGCCCTGACACACAGCTCTCCAGATCCACCCCCATGCCTTGTCCTCTGAGGCCCACTGTCCAGTGGGGGAGTAGACATGTCACCAACAGTGACTGCTACATATGTAGATGGGGAGGAGCAGGCGGGAATCAAGGTGAGATGGGGTACAGGCAGAGGGGAAGAGCAGGATGAGTGTGCTGGTGGAGGTTGGGGTGGGATGGGGAAGGCAGGGCACTGGAGCAAAGGCATATGGGCCTCATATAACTGGGGTAGGCGTCCAGGGAGGGGCAGCTGTGTGAAGCCATCCCTTAACAAGGGGGAAATGCATGTGGGAATCACAGAGGGGCACAGGCTTCGGGAGATAAATGAACAGCTTGGGCCAGAGGGACCCCACCCAGTTGACACTGGAAGATACAAAGGTTGTATCAAAGGGCCAGAGGAGGCAGGACCGGGAGGGACCACACTGTCAAGGGATGTTGACGAGGGGTGCAGGCTCTGGGGAGCTTAGGACGGCCATGCTCAGGCAGACAGGCAGGGCGGGGCACACCAGTCCATGATGGTGATGTCAGGCTGTTCGTCATCTAGCAGCTCTTCCCAGAGCTTCTTGGCCAGCAGGTTCACACACTGCTCCTTCACCGTCCAGCTGCAGAGACAAGAGAGGACATGGCTCTGGCAGACCCACAATCCAGAGGTCTCCCGGGGAGCAGGAGACCCGCCCCCACCCCTAACCTCCACCCGAAGCATGAAGGCCTGATAGTCTCGGTTCCCAGGAGATCCTGGAGGACAATGTACTCAAGCCCTCTGTTCCAGATGAGAGCTGACCCTTAAGATGATCTGAGCCAGGCCTGGAATCTCAGGTCCTCTCGTGGCTGAGTTAGAGAACTGGAGGTTCAAGGCCCACCTGGGCAATTTAGTGAGATCCTATCTCAAAAAGTAAAAAGACGACCAGAGGTGTGGCTCAGCACTAGAGCCCCTGCCTAGAATCCCCCAGTGAGGGACTGGGGGTGTGGCTCAGTGGTAGAGCCCTGCCTAGAATCCCCCAGTGAGGGGCTGGGGTGTGGCTCAGTGGTAGAGCACCTGCCTAGAATCCCCCAGTGAGGGGCTGGGTTGTGGCTCAGTGGTAGAGCCCCTGCCTAGAATCTCCCAGTGAGGGACTGGGGGTGTGGCTCAGTGGTAGAGGCCCTGCCTAGAATCCCCCAGTGAGGGGCTGGGTTGTGGCTCAGTGATAGAGCACCTGCCTAGAATCCCCCAGTGAGGGTCTAGGGGTGTGGCTCAGTGGTGGAGCCCCTGCCTAGAATCCCCCAGTGAGGGGCTGGGGTGTGGCTCAGTGGTGGAGCCCTGCCTAGAACCCCCCAGTGAGGGGCTGGGGTTTAAATTCAGTCCTAGAGATTTGTCTAGTTTAAGCAAGACTTTAAGTTTAATCAGTAAAGCAAAAACATTTTTTTTAATGGGATTTAATTCTGAGCCCCTGAATTACACCCTCTCATCTACCATTCAGGACCTGGACTGGGGTTAATAGAGGACCCAGGTGACTCCCAGGGAAAGAGGATGAGAGTAATGTTTATCAAACACCTACTGTGTGCTGGCCAGACTTCTTGGGCGCCTATGTTGCACGTTTCATAGGCATTCTGTCATGACTAACCCTGTCACCGAGCAAGAAAGAGGGGTTCCTCTGCAGGAGCCACAGACAAGAAAGCTGGAAGAGGAACGGCGCAATTCCACCTCCACCCCCAGGCCTGTGGCAACTCACCTGAGGGGCCCCTGGAGGTTCTCGGTAGTAATATACCATCCGTGGAAATTACCTGGCCAGTGGGGAGGACGGAAGAGGTGTGAGACATCTTTCGTTGAGGGGCCCCATCCTCCCTGGCTTACCCATCTCCCCAGTGTGCTTACCCAGGTCCGTCAGGGGTTTCCGGGTGGGACCCGTAGGGGGCGCCGGCTGGTAGATATTAATGCCTGAGTCACAGAAGGGAATGGAGCCTCAGGCCAGTGCCCACCTCCTCCTGTCTTCCTACCCCTGGAGCTACACCAGAAGGGCAGGAACACAAGCCGGGCTAGAACTGCCTAACTGGGACTAAGGATGCCAGTGGGCGGTTACGGTGAGTCTTTGGAGCTCTGGAAGATATCTAGAGAAAGGGACCGAAACACAGACGAAGGAGAGAGAGAGAGAGAGAGACAGAGACACCGAGACACAGAAGTGCAGCGACAGACAGAAACAGGCAGGAACCGCCGAGGAAGATGAAGAGACCGACGGGCTGAGCCAGGTGTCCCCAGCTGCGTCCCCACCTTCGGGGTTGGGTGAGCTGAGCAGGTTGCGGTAGAGCGGCCGTTCCAGGAACAGCAGCTTCCAGCTGAGGCTGGGGGGCAGCTCCAGCTTCCCACTCAGGGGTCCCCATTCTTCCAGCAACAGCTGCCTGGCTTCCACCTCGGTCGGCGCGTTGGGCGGTGGGAGCTCGGGAGTCTCCGGGGATGAGGGAGACCGTGGGGACGGCGGCGGTGGCGGGGACTGTGGAGGCGGTGGCAGCTCCTCGGAGTTCTGGGACCCCTCAGCTTCCATCCTGCCGCTGAGCACGTCTCTCTCCGGCGTCTTCTCCATCCCCAAGGTTTGGGCGACTGGGTGGCGGTTCCCAGGATCCAGGTTAACTGGGGGTGGAGGGGCGGGACAAGTCATCAGGCATTTAAGAGAAGGGCGTGTTAGGGGAAGGATTTGAACCCCGGGGGCCCTCCTCCCTCACCTCATGAGCCCAGTTTGCAAGGTCCTTCTCCTCCTGACCTAGTTAGTGATCCAGGACCCCTGCCCCCCTCCCTCAGACCCAGGGGTCTAGATCCAGTCCTCCTCCCTCAGACCCAGGGGTCCAGGCTCCAGACCTCTTCCCTCAGAAGGGGTTCAGTCTCTGCCCCCACAGCTTCTCACCGCTCTGTCCCAGTTTCCCCAGGACCAGCTGAGGCCCTCCTCTGGCCCCTGGGGCTAAAGTCAGGTTCTCTAAGGATGTGTATCCTCCTAAAGGCTGATCTGGCAGGACTGAGGGCAGTTAAAGCCAACCCCCCATCTCCCCCCTCCTCATCCCATGTGGGCCTGGGAAAGGGCAGGGGTCTAGCCTCAGGCACGTCTTCACCTCTGCTGGGACACACCTTAGGTACTCAGACATCTTTTGTTCTGGAAAGCAAAATAGCTCAGAGTGAGGCAGGAAGCAGAGATAGGGTCATCAGAGGTGGGGGGCCCAGGGAGTCTGGAGGCAGTAGCCCCTGAGTGGGCTTCTCTGGGTGACTGTCCCCACGGCCTCCTCCCTCAGAGAGGACGGGCCACAGAAGAGGCAGGACTTTGGGACGTGAGGAACCTGTAGGTCCAGATACTCAAGGCCACTTCCTGTCTGTGGCCCATCCCCTCCCCGGTCTGGTTATCCCTGAGGACACCATCAGCAGCCAGGAACTTCGGTGCCAGAAGGGCTCCTTAAACCCAATTCACGAACAAAGAGGTGGAGTAATGAGATGATGGACAGACTGTAAGCAGATCTGGGGCCTGAAGTCCCCATCAGGAGCTCACCCACAGGAGCCCAGGGCAAGCCGGGCCCTGGTGGCGCAGGCCTTTAATCCCAGCACTCGGGAGGCAGAGGCAGGCGGATCTCTGTGAGTTCGAGGCCAGCCTGGTCTACAGAGTGAGTTCCAGGACAGGCTCCAAAGCTACACAGAGAAACCCTGTCTCGAGAAAAAAAAAAAAAAACAACCCAGGGCGAGTTACTACTGGCTTCTTGGTTTTTCTCTTGCTGTTTTTGGGGGCTTTTGTGTTTTGTTTTGTTTCCAGACAAAGTTTTATGTAGCCCAGGTTGGTTTTGAACTTACTGTGTAGCCCACACTGGCCTTGAACTACTGATCTTCCTGCTTCTACCTCTCAGATGACGGTACACAAGCTTGTGCTGCCATGCCATGCCTTGTGTGCTGCCGTGGCTACCCCCACACTCCCAGGCCAGACCTGCACACTTCCACACTCCTGTCCTTCAGACTCAGAAAACAAGGCAGCCTCAGACAGACACCTGGATGTGGCACTCAAGCCCAACAGCGCTCACGCCCCAGTTATAAGGCCTGCTTCCTCTCATTGTTTCTAGCCCGGAAATGGGGTAAGCCATCCCATCTCCTCATGTACCTTAGGAAGTCCACCCTGTTGTTACGCCCATTTTGCCAATGAAGACACAGAGAGGTCTAGTGACTCACTCGAGGTTGCACAGCAAGGATATGGCAAGTTGGACAGATGCAAGATGGACAGAAAGTCTCAGGTGAGGTAGGTTCAACAGTGATCAGATTTAAATGGAGAAACATGGCCACCGGCTTTATTGATCAACTTAGACCCATTCAACTTTATGAGCACCCTGAGCAGAAGTGAGAGCGCATGGTAAATCGTCTGCAAAGACAGCTCAAGGAACTGAGGCAGGAAACAGGCGGTGTTGAGCTGCGCACTGAAGGGCTGGCTGGGAAGTCACCAGGGCCACAGGAGCTGGAGTGACAAATGTCCCTTCCAGGTGTCACCCTGCCACACCCAGCAGGTTCTCAGAAAATACCCGCAGAGCCCATGGCACACCCAAGACTGCATACACTCCTGGGGACGTCTCAGTACACGCCCCTTGTCCCAGCTACACGCCCCCGGCCCCAGGCCTGTCATGGCAGGCAGGAGGAAAGCCTGGTGTGTGGGGCCAGAATCCAGGGCAGGGCGTGGTTGCAGTTTGCAGGGACCAGGAGGAAGAAGCCCCAAGACTATAGAGGCTTTCTCTTGGTTAACAAATGTATTTATTCTTCCCGATTCATATACACACAAACAGATATGATTATAAAATGTACTTTGATCATACTATCCCCCATTATCCCTACCCACCCCCTCCCTCTGGCCTAAACTAATATGCCCCTTCCTACTTTGATGTGTTTTATTTGTTTGTTTTGTTTGAGAATCTTATGTAGTTCAGGCTGTCCTCAAATTCCCAGCTAGAGTGCTGGGCTGTCAGATGACCTGTTGAGTGTGCTGAACTGTTCTTTTGTGTTGGTAAAGATGAAACCTAGGGTTTGGGGAATACTAACCAAGATTCTGTCCTGAGCCACACCCCAGCCCCTCACTAGGGGATTCTAGACAGGGGCTCTACCACTGAGCCATGTTCCAGCCCCTCACTGGGGGATTCTAGGCAGGGCTCTACCACTGAGCCACACCTCCAGCCCCTCACTGGGGGATTCTAGGCAGGGGCTCTACCACTGAGCCACACCTCCAGCCCCTCACTGGGGGATTCTAGGCAGGGGCTCTACCACTGAGCCACACCCCCAGCCCCTCACTGGGGGATTCTAGGCAGGGGCTCTACCACTGAGCCACACCCCCAGCCCCTCACTGGGGGATTCTAGGCAGGGGCTCTACCACTGAGCCACACCCCCAGCCCCTCACTGGGGGACTCTAGGCAGGGGCTCTACCGCTGCGTCACACCCCAGCCCCTCACTGGGGGATTCTATCTTTGAGCCATGCCCACAGCCCTATCTTAGGCTTTTTCTTTCCTTCTTGCCTGTACCTCCACACTCAGTGGTTCTCAAATCCTGGTGCATGTCTGATTCACAGAGGAGCTCCCTTGTTCCATCACAGAAGTCTGGGATGGGCCCCAGAACCTGAAAGAAGCACATTTGCCTGATTATGAGGAATCTGGGTGTGCAGCTTTTTTCCTAGCAGAGCAAGGGGATTCCCACGCTAACTCGGAAGCTTCTGCTCTTGCCACTGGAAGGTCAGGAACATCCCCAGTGTGGCATTCAGCCAAGAGCACTTAAAGCACATGTTGACACAGAGAGGATCACCATGCTGGTCACAGCAGCCCCACACTGGAACAGCTCGTGTGCACACATCTGGATTACCACCCGGGATGTTTTAAGGGCATGGTCTCCTACTTGGCACTGTTAGAGGGTGGGGACTAGTAGAGGTGGGGACCTTTAGGGGTGGGGACTAGTAGAGGTGGGGACCTTTAGAGGTGGGGACTAGTAGAACATCTTCTGGTCCCCAGAGTGCCCTTGCAGAGGACAAGGGACTCTGCCCTGCTCTGTTCTGCTTTTTTGCTTTCTGACCACACGGGTTAGTGGTTTGGCTCCACTGTTAAGTCCTCACAGTGACCAGAAGCAGCAAGGTCCAGGGGGAAGGGAGACCTCTGAAACTGTGAGCCAAATTAAACCTTTTCTCTTTAAAAACAGTATTTTAGCCAGGTGGAGATGGCGCATTCCTTTAAATCCCAGAACTCGAGAGGCAGAGGCAGGCAGATCTCTGTGAGTTCGAGGCCAGCCTGGTCTACAGAGTGAGATCCAGGACAGCCAGAGCTGTTATATAGAAAAACACTATCTCAAAAAACAAACAAAAAGCATTTTAGCCTGTGTCTTTACATGTAGCACTGGCTGGCCTAGGACACATTGTGTAGACCAGGCTGGCTTTGAACTCAGAGATCTGCCCATTATTTATTTGTTTATTTGTTTATTTGTTTATTTATTTATTTATTTATTTATTTATTTATTTTATGTGTGTATGTTTGCCTGTATGTATGTCTGTATACCACATGCATGCCTGGTGTCCTCAGGGACCAGAAAAGGACACCGGAAACCCTGGAAGTGGAGCTACAGATGATTATGAACCACCCTGTGTGTAGTTGGGTTTCTTCCTATTTGAGGGCCCCCCACCCAGCTCTCAAATAAATACACGGAGACTTATTCTTACTTATGAATGCCCAGCCTTAGCTTGGCTTGTTTCTAGCCAGCTTTCTAAAATTATCCTGTCTACCTTTTGCCTCTGGGCTTTTGCCTTTCTCTATTTCTGTATATCTTTTCTTCTTACTCCGTGTCTGGCTGTGTGGCTGGGTGGCTGGCCCCTGGGGTTCTTCTCCTCATCTCCTTTCTTGCTCCTCCATTTTCTCTGTTCTTTTATTTATTCTGTCTGTCTGCCAGCCCCACCTATCCTTTCTCCTGCCTACCTCTCAGCTGTTCAGTTCTTTATTAGACCAATCAGTGTTTTAGACAGGCGCAGTAACTCAGTTTCAGAGTTAAACAAATGCAACATAAAAGAATGCAACACATCTTTGCATCATTAAAACAAATGTTCCACAGCATAAATGAATGTAACACATCTTTAACTAATATTCCACAACACTGTGGGTTCTGGGAATCGAACCCCAGTCCTCTGGAAAAGCAACAACTGCTCTTAACTGCTGATATATCATTCAGCTCCATCTCCTTTTTTAAACATGAGGGTCTCAGGTATCTTGCTACAAAAGCAGGGAGTTAGTCAGCTTACTGTTATATCTATACACTGGGATTCTACGCACAAGTAAAAGGAATGAACTATCCAAACACATGACAATGTGGATGCGTCTAAAAATCTCTATGCAGAACAATAAAAGAAAGGCAAACCAAGAGTACCTCCAGTGTGATTTCATTTGTATAAAATCCTGGAAAAGGAAAGATTAACTAGTATCAAAGACATCATGTTGGTGGCCGTTAGAGGCTAAAGGAATTATAGCCAAGAGATGTGGGTGAAGTTTCATGGGCAGTGGGATACAGGTCTCACTGTGTAGCCCAGGCTGTTCTGGAACTAGATATGTAGATCAGGTTGGCCTGGAACTCACAGAGATCCACCTGCTCTGCCTCTTGAGTGCTGGGATTAAAGTCATCCACCACAACGCCTGGCCTGGAAA